TGTTCCCCCTTCAGGGAGAACTCAACCTTAGTATAGGACAACAAACAATGTTTATCCTAATAGGATGTAATTAAAGACTCGAAATCTGATACACACAGTTGTTACCTGTTGTTGATGCGATGGGGAGAAGGAAGAGGAGGAAGAGAAGCATTATGCTGAGGTTGTGCTTCTTTGTTGTTGTTGTTACAGCTATCAGCAAAGCGAGATGTGATTTTCTTCTTGACCACAACAGCACCATCTGATTTTCCATTGATGGAAGTTGACGCTGCTGATGATGAGTTGTTCTTGTCTTTGACCTTCACACATCTCAGCCTCTTCCTATTTCCCCACTGCAATCTATCCATCTCTCTCTCTGTATTCGTGGTATTTTATTTTCTTCTCAGCAGCAATCCCTTTTGCCCCTTTCTAATAATGGATAGATGTATCTGCACTAGCAGCACCTGCAAGAAACAGAACCCACCACCAATCTACCATGAGAAGTTTAAAAGCCAATATTGGCATATATTTGCATAGGGAGAGAGAGAGAGGAGGACCCATGAAAATACAGGACCAAAACCGAGAGCATAAAGATGTAAGGTAGAATTAAAATACAGCACCCACCTCAGGATCTGTAAATACACTTGCAAACGATGTCCCGCACAGCCAAAATGAAGGCCCCTCCTGCATTGGAGTCTTCCATTAGAGATACAATCAGACTGCAAAAAATACAATCTCAGAGCACAAAAAAAAGAAAAAATAAATTTGAGGAAGCAGGAGGATACTCACATACAAGGAAGAGAAACTGAGAAAGATGGGATTTTGGTCGTGGGAAGTTGCAACAAATTGCATATAGATACCAGGTGGTGGTGGCTGTGGTGTTTTTAAGTGTTGCTTTTGTGGAATAGCTAAGAGAGAAACAAAAGATGTGTTTTGAGGTTTCTTGGCTTGTTTTTGTATTCTAAGACTTTTTAAGTTTTAACTGCTGGCTTTGTTTGAAACTTGGAAGTTACTCTCACCAGCCACCACTCTCACTCTGCCTTTTTTTCTCCTCTTTTCTTTCTTTTTACTACTAATTCTCTACCCTACTGACTACTACTACATCAATGAATTATACACAAAGCAGAACTCCAAAGCTATTCCTTTTAGTCTTTTAGGCCCAATCAATCTTCTCTGCCTCTTTTCTCCTTTTTTTTTTTTTTTTTTGTTTTGTTGGTTGTGGGTGTTATCCCCAGAGACAGAGTGGTGGAGTTATGATTTGTGTCAATTGGGGTGTGGTATTTTTCTTCCTTTGACATGTGCTCCATATTCATATTGGTGGTCTGCCTGATGAGAAGAGGAGAAAGTAGTGGCACTAGCAACTAGCAAGTAGTAGTAATAACTTCTACTAAGTCACACTCTCCATCATTTTTCTTATATAATAATAATAATGTTTGTCTATAGTACTCTATATACCATGTGGTTTTTTGTTTTGGGTGTGAAAAAAAAAAAGAATAAATCTTATATACACTGATGGTGTATACGCACTATCACGATTAAATATACGATACATATGCAAAATTTGAGTTTCAAATTCAAATTTAAATTATGTGTTATGCATCTGATGATAAAAGTGTATATACTGTTAGTGTATTGAAAATTAATCCAAGAAAAAAAAAAGATTATTGGTGTTTGTCTTTCAAAATAGGGGTAAGAAAGATTCGATCCCTTTTTTTATTCTTTTTTTTTTTTGGGGACGGAGAAGGAGTAAATCTGGACAGACGTTGGAGGGTTTAATGAAGGGTTGGATGCGATTTCCCTCCAACTGCGTGCCGCCCCCATTTATCTTTTCCTTTGACTCTTTCCTTCAATTTTTTTTGGGCCCAAAATTTGTGTATTCGTATTATTATTTACTATAGATGGTTTCCAAAAAAAAAACAAAACACACACACACACACACACACAAATGAAAAGAAAAAGCAGCCTATAGGGGGGGATTTTTGTTAATCACAATTTCACTATTATTTTAATCATATAATTTTCATTTATTAGACCGTAAGATAAAACAAATGATGAGAGTGCAGATAACAAAAAATGGGGCGTAACTAACATTATTGTTTTTGAAATAATTATTGATTTAATAATAGTAATAGATGTAGGAGTAATAAAAGTCCAGTGCAAAAATTGACTGGTCTTTAATATTAGTCTTTGCTTTCCTTAAAAAGAAAAGGTCTTGACAATCACGAGAGTCCAAGGCAAAAGAATGTCACCACCGCCAAGTAGTACGTACTGCTACAGAAAGCCACTTGACGCGTCTGCTGACAAAAGTTACTACGGCTACTTAGTGTTGGATTCATGTTCAGAGGATTTGAAAGCCCATTAGATGCCTCCACGTCCTCTGCCCAGGAGTTTGATGATCTGCAGAAAAAGGGTAAAAGATTCATCATAGGGACCCAAGCAAAAGATTCATGTGGTATGATGTGTTAAATGAGCAAATTTTCTTGTTGCTGGTTGTATTCCTTCTTTTTCAACATCGTGCTCTTGCATTGGGGTGTGAAGCTATTTGAGAGAGAGTATGCAAACGTAACCAAATCCATTGCAAAAGAACTACTACACAGACGGCAGAATTTGAAGTATGCAACAAGAGAACTCGCAGACGCTACTACTTGAGAGTGCGCAATGGGTAGACAAACTTGAGTCTGCAGCTTGCCTGCAATCAGAAGTGTCAAAATGGGTGATTTGGACGGGTTGAAATGAGTAGTGGATATAAGTGAATCAATTCATTTATATTCATTTAATTAGATGGGTATAAATGGGCAAGTAAAAAAAATGAGTTGGATAACTCAATTACCCATTTATAATCCATTCATTTTAACGTTTTGTAAACTCATTTAAATTCATTTTTGTGAACTAAATTATTAATTTATACCATCCTTTATACCTATCGTTAGTTTTAAATATTTACTTATAATGTTCAATAAGTCTAGTTATCAATTTTTTTTCATCCATGCTCCTTGTCACAAGTTAACAAGCTACGAGAAAATGAGCACGTTAACAAGCTACAAGCAAATAAAACGATAAGATAAAATCAACAAAATAATAATATTAAATGAAACAAAAGTAGTTAACATAATAAATGAAGAATCTGAAAAAAAAAAATCAAGTAGGGTATCTATCTGCGTAAAAAATGCATCAAATATTTGCTAACGCTGAAAAATAAAACATTCCACTATATACAAGGTATCAGCAATATTAATACATGAAAGTCTCTAACAACGAGTTCAATAATCAAACGCGGGTCTCAAATTTCTTCTAAATGGGTAGGTAAGGAGAGGAGGTGTGGAAAAAACAATTTTAAATGAATTAATTGAGTTCAATGAGTTACCCATATCTTCAGCTATTTATGAATGAATATAGGTAAATTTAGTTAAATGAATTTATTTACCACATGTACCTGCAAGCTATTTAGTTTTTAGGAGCAAAACTGCGAAACCTTTGGATTTTTTCAGGAGTCTGGACTCTGAGTTGTTGATAATGATTATTGATTACGATCCATTCCAAGAAGCAATGAAATGTATAGCCCTTTCTTATAGACGTCAGTATTTACCGGCCCTAACTGACCCATGATGTATTCATATCCAAAGCCCATATAGATCTAACATCATAATGAACCATGCAGCTGCCCCCCTCCCAGCCTGTTCTGAGATATATGACTACTTAGTTGACTACTAAACAACCCCCTGTTTAATCCATAATTAACAAAAAAAAATAAAAATCTTTTTTTTAATATTTAATGAAAATGGAAACCTCGAATCGGAACATCTCATTTACACTCCCTCTCTTAATACCACTCAACCTCAGAGAATGTATGCAGTATACTGCTACTTTCTCATGATACCTTTTATGGAATTTACTAGTAGTAATACTACGTTTTAAGTCCAGGAGTCTGTAGTTTATTAACAAAAATAAAAGAAAAATAAAGAAAATAGATGAATATTTTTTGGGTGTGTGTGGGAGTGTATTAGGAGTGCAAACTAGCCGAGTCAAGCCGAGTTTTGGCCTAATCGAACAGAGTCTCTAGTTAATTTTGTGAAGCTCGAACTCGAACTCGACGAGTTCAAAACGTCAAGCTCGAGCTTAAAAAATAAAAATAATAATAAAATTATTTTTAAAAAATAAAAATAAATAAAATAATAATTTTTTAACAAATAATAAAATATTATGAATATATGTGTAATTTTACTATTAAAATAAAAAATAAAAAAAATATGTATAATTGAGCTCACGAGCACGAGTTTAATGTTTTTGACCTCGAGCTCGAGATCGAGTTCGACTTAATTAACTTAAACTCGATATTGACCGAGCTCAACTCGAGCTCGTACTCGAGCCGATCGATTCGTGAACACCCCTAGTGTGTATTAACTTCCCAACCGACCGACCAAATACTACAAACAAAGGTAATGATGCTTTTCATAAACAAATAAATAATTCAAATTGGAAAGGCAGAAAGCCCAACTTAAGTACTTTTGGTCTTCTTGATTATCAAATACTAAACCCTATCAGTAGTAAACCAATTCCGCACTTGAAAAGATTTGTGCCAGCTTCTGTATTTCCACGTCTCTACTACTACAAGAAAAGTGTACGCACGCCACCAAAAGTTGAAAGCGAAGGCAAAAACATGTACTCTACTACTACTAGCTACTAGTAATTAATTACTTTATATGTATTCTTCTTTGAAAATGCTCATTAAGGGCTGCTTTTGTTATATCAAATTACCACTACGTACTTAATTTGGGGCAACTACTTTATCTTTATTGTGTCACTTCAATGAAAAAGAAAAGGTAACTACCATTGTCCAAAAGAGTAGCAAACTAGGCTGTAGTCTAAAAGAAAAGACTACGTATGCTTCTTTCCAAAATCATCAAATTACATATGCTCTTTTTTTCTTTCTTCAATATATCTACACTTACTCGGGGAGGATTGGACCATCACTGGATCAGACAGGTGTCTACGCACCCGCTGACGATATTTTCAGGAAAGCATAGATTTTTAGAATGTAGGCAAGGGGATTTTACGTTGAGCTGATTAATTTATAATCAATATAGTTCCTCCTGTGTTTTCATTACTACTATTTTCTTTCATGCACCAAGTGCTTTAATTAATTAAGCTATATATCAACCCTCCATCCATGGTCCATAAATGGCGTTCGTAATCATGTCATTAATTGCCTTCTGATTTCTTGTGCTCAATAATAAGCAGCAGGTACGGGTTGTCTGTCAACTCCAATTTGCATTAATTAGGACATTGCTTATCCACAAGAACCATGCCTTTGAATTTCAATGAATAAAAAGTAAAATTAATTTTGCTTACCAAATATTGACAGTACTACTAGCCTTAGCAGATCAAGAGAGAGGTAGGTGTAATTTTTAAAATCTGACGGATGTTCACAAACCTTATCCCTAACGTTTTATGATAAAAGCACGTTTTATAGTTTTTCCATCAATTACAAGAGTCAAATTAACTAACATCTATTCTACCATAAGATAAGGATAATGGTTACCAATCTTGGGTAAGTCTAAGCAGTTGATAATTGTACGCCTCTAACTTAGTGGCAGAACTACTACTAGTAGTAGTACAATGAATGCAATTTTCGCAAGTCTCTGGTGTTTCTTTAAATACTTTGATCCTTTGACATCGACTTCTTATAACCCAAAATGCACTAATTGGCTGTATTGATGGTGCCATGCACGATGCTTCCAATTCCATGTCAACTACTCCATCTTCAAAATCAGGACCATTCAGGGCTTTATATGTGCTCTCCTGTAGGATAGTAACAAGACTTGTGTAAGCTAATTAACCTCATCTGGGATTCAACTGATCTCGAGCGATCTGAGTTTGGTAAAATATCATAATCCATAAGGTAGGAAAAAAGCTGCTGCAATTCTATGCATGTATTTTACTTCACGTATCATCTGAGTCTGACTGATACTGAAGAATTTTTTTTGTCTGTCCCGCAAAATGTATATTGGCCCAGATCAACATTGATGATCATCAGCTCGTGATTTGGTATCAGCTATGAATACTCCTTTCCCGATTCACTAAACAAATTCTGCTCGTGATCCTGCTTCTGCTTCTTGCCAATGACCTTAATTTCCTTTTGTTTTTTCTCATTTTTTACTTCCCATGTATAGGGATTCTATGCACGATATCATGAAGCTAGTAAAGTGGAAGTAGCTTTTACAGTACATCCTTTCCTAGTAATTGGAGAAGACGTAATACCTTTTTGCCTTACTGATCCATATTCATAACAAATTCAGTCACCATCTACTAGAACATCTAGATAACCTGTTCTAATTATAACTCCTGAAAATATCTCAGAGTTTTCAGCATCAGGGATTCTATGCGTCTAAATTCATTCTGAAAATTTATCAAAGCTCTTACTCCTACAGTAATTTACACCAGTCTAAAGAAAAGAAAGAAAAGAAAACATTCTTAACAATGAATGCATCACATCACATGCTAAGCTGAGGTCTCTAGTAGTCACTGAACAATTAGTAATGATTAGGCTCCTAAACAGAGCAGTTTATAGGAGGGTTTTAGGCAACAAAGGCCATAAGATTAGGTATTGACAAAAATGAGGTCTAAATCAAAGAGTGGAAAAAAAGTCCTAAGAGAAGAACAGAATGGAAGGAACAAAGCAGTAGTAGTTAAGAATACAGCACAACTGCGCAAGGTTGTGCCCCACGCCAACTGTACTTTTTTCACATTGCTTACCTATACACACTCTGTCAATTTTCCGGGCAGCGGGCAGCCACCTACTAACTTATTTGTTAAACTACTACTTTAATCATCAATTATTACGTACTAACACTCTACCATTAACTTTCACTTTGGGAGGAATCAAAGCCTTTTAGACAAAATAAAGTGTGCCTTGGATGCATAAGATGTCGAAATGGATTCTTTTTAGAACCTTTTCAGCTTTTTCTCTTGCTTTGCGGAATCGTTCTTTAGTGCTTAATTTAGTGGGTTGGTAATTCTAATCGTTAATTTTGTCAATAAACAAGTATTGTTAGGGAGAAACGCTCAAGAAAACCCATCAAAAAGGCTAAATATGTAAGTCTAAGTATCCAACATTGATTCAAAGGTTTAAACTATTAAAGGGCCTAAACCCTTATTTACATATTAAGAACTTTTTTTTTGTCTCTCAAATTAATATCAGATACAATTCTCTACTCATAAATCTAATAGATATTTAAAAAGAATATTACAACAAAGAAACATAATAATAATAATAATAATAATAAACTTTGACACTTTTCTTGTCTACTCAAACTCCAAAAAAAAAAAAGGCTAGAAAAGAGAAAAAGTTATAAAGGAAATAAGATACTAGTAGTGGAGTGTTTTGGAGTTAGGACATCTCAACATTCAAATGGGGCAGCTGCCTGCCCGTAGTGGATGAGAGCAACTATATAAACAGCAGCAGCATGACCCATCATAGTCATCCTCCTCTGCCATTTCCTCTGTAATCTCCCCACCAGGCCTACCACTCATTCTTCGCAGAGGAAATTAATTCATAGAGCAGCAGAGCCATCTTTTTTTTCTTGATTCTCTCATCACAAATGGAGGCGGCAATGAAGATGAAGATGCTGGTAGCCGCAATGTTGGTGATCATGATGATGTCACTCTCCGGAATGAAGGGCGTCGCCGCAGCCGATGCTCCGGCGCCGGCCCCCGCCTCTGACGCAACCATCTTCGTGCCTACCTTGTTTGCTTCTATTGCTGCACTGGCTTTTGGTTTCCTCTTCTGAATTGATTAGTCATTAATCTTATCCACCTTACTTTGTTCATGCAAGTAGATTCACTTTACACCAGATGTGAGCATGCAGTCACCGGACAGACAGGCAGCCGTGCTGCTTCTTTACCTTTGATTCCTTTCTTCCTTCCTTCCTTCATTTTTTTTTTTTGGGTTTATGGAGTGCTGTTAATAAATAGTACTAGTTCTGCTATTTATGATCCCTGCTTTTTCTTTAGTTTGGTTTGATGTGAATTTATGGTGGGATGGGATTGGAATAATGTTTTATTTGGAATTTGAGTTGATGGATGGAGCATAATATGATTTTATCTTTGTACTACATATTCTTTTTCTTCTTCTTGTTTGTTTTTTTTTTTTGTACCATGTGTGTATTGTACTATTTACTATTTTGTGTAAGAAGCAGCAGCAGCAGCAGAGGTCTTGATTTGTTCTGCTGCATTAGTTCAGAGTCTGAATACTTTCCTTAGTTTTGTTGTGTACATTATTGTCGGTTCTTAAGTTCTAATGATAATTGATTAACGTTTTCAATGAGTTGATTAGGACCCATTCATATTCTCTGCCCTTAAGGCGTAGGATAAGTATACAAGATATAAAAGATGGACTCATTTCAAATTTTAAACATTACTAATGTGGCTAAGGGCAAGAAGAACCCTTTAATGAAAGAGTAAAATGAAGTCTACAATGGTTTATTGAGTTGAGTTGTCCCATGGAATTCCAAATGAAGTGGGGACACAACTCACGAGGACAGCTAGCTAAGGAAAGGGAGATCATTTGTTGTTTTTAATCCATCCATCAATGAGCTTCTATCTATCAAATATCAATTGAAAGAAACTAGTACTAATTGAAAACTACCCTCTTCATTCCATTTTCATAATTGATGGTGGTTCCATCACTAAATAATACAAGTTATAGATAATCTTTCAAAGTTAAGAAAAGAATTTATTAGTAGTTGCATTCCAAAAAAAAAAAAAAAGAAAATAATTTAGTAGTACAATTTTGGCATTTGGAATGGTGATGACTTTTCACTATTCCCACTACATTTCTACTAGGTGAGTTTACCATTTCAAATTGGTAAAATGGCTACATTTAAAAGTAGTGATTAAAATGGTACTAGCATTTAATTAAGCGAATTGCCAGAATCTAAGATAACTCCACAAGTTTACTCAAAAGGCAATTGCTGACTTGTGAGTAAATTTGAGGAACTTAAATCCTACACACACGCACTTATCACCACCGACGTGGGAACAAGGATTTTTGGGGGAAAGGGAATTGGTACTGGATGGTCCCAAACTGGTCAGCACCATATTTATGCGACCGAGAATTTGATCCCGTGGATTGGGACTTCTTGTTCGCAATTTCCAAGTAAATTGTACGTATCATCATCATCCTAAACATTGCATGCCTACATTTATAATTTCAGCATATTTTTGATGCACCTACTGAGATGTGAAACAGTTCATCAGTGACATATTATTGAACCCAACCACAGAAGTGCTTGAAAACATATGACATGCACGCCAAGAAAGAAGGAAGGAAAGAAAGAAAGAAAGAAAGAAAGATGGTGCTAGCAACAAAATGTTTATGCAGCTAATTAAACCATCAGCTTTCATATTCATTGCTATTCTATATTTCAGAGGTCCTTGCTATTACTACTGTAGACAAATTGGCAAAGATGGCCGAAGATGGCTTGGAATGAACATGCATGATGGGCTATGGCACATGGTCTCCTCTATTGAAAAGGCAAGGCAAACCAAATTTATTATTATTATTTTTTTTTTATAAAAAGTGTTCTTGAATCATCAGCATGCATGTGTGATATGCCCACAAATACACCAATGGGAAAAGGTGGTTGGTGTTTCTTGGGTGGAACTTTGTCTTGAAGCTACCTTCTTCCTCATGCGTGGAGGGCCCTTCCTATCAACAAATATCTCACTTGCCGTATTATTAGAAGTATATAGCCTCTAGTTTAATTGAACTCTTGTTCAGCACTCCTTTTGATCATCATCATCATCATTATTATTATTAATCTTACCGACTAAGTATCAATTTATGTGCTATTAGCTGGTGCTACTGTTAAAAAGTCTTGTAGCACATAATTGATTCAGCTCAGAAATCCATAAGGAAGCTTCTGTAGTATTATGATATGGTTTAAACTTCTTAGCACGTAATTGATTCAGTTCAGAAATTCATGAAGAAGCTTCTGTATTATGGCTTTAAACAAGCAAAACATGATTGAGGTTGGATGATTGAACGATTAAAAACTCAACACAGCTTTAGCAAGAAAAGTCTTGAGGACTGGATCGAGCTGGTTCTTATGACTTAGATTTTTTTTTTAGCAAGAAAAGTCTTGAGGACCGGTTAAGCTGGTTCTTAGGACTTAGATTTTTTTACGTCTCACTCATATATATATATGTATATATATATGTATAAAAGTATAGATTAAAATATAAAAAAGTTCCCTATGGTTAAGCTAATCTATGAAAAAATCCCTGATGATTTCAAATAATTTATTTCGACCCCTCATGATTTGAACTAATTTGAAACAGCAACGAAAATCGTCAAAATTAATCGAGACAGACGAAATATTAGGGATGCAAATTTAGTCGAGTTCAATCGAGCTATTGACGAGTTTGTTTGTTCAAAACTTAAGCTGGAGTGTAATATATATGCAAGGCATGAAAGCTTGTCAAGCTTAATCGAGATTCAAATACATATGTATAATTCTAAATTCTTTTATTTAAAATCATACTCGAATAGAGTTCGAGTACTACTCGAGATTCACTCAACTCGATTGCAACTCTAGTTTTCCTCCATCGATCAAATTTTCAAAGCTGACTGATCTGAAATAAAACTTTTCTGAGTCTAGAATACAAAGCATAATTTATGCTGAACTAAGAGTAATTATGCTTTTATAGTTTAAGTTTTTTTTTCTAAGGAAACCTTCTATTGATAAGAGTGAAATACTCACAAGGAAATTATGCAGCAGCAGTACAATAATCTATACTTCGAGTATATACAATAGACTGATTAGAGCGTACAGCTAGCAGAACTCAATAAGCCTCTATCTAAAACTATACATATCAGACTGTAAAAATGTCCTGATCTTGGTTTCAATCTAGGCTGGAATCCAGATTCTCCTGGGTATGAAGTATCTTCCTCCACGCTAGCATTCAAAGTGGATATATATAATGACTTTAAAAATTTTGGGTGAAGGGAGGGCCAAAGTTTAATTTGTACAGGGATACAAGCAAAAGATTTTAATTTCTGAAGGAAATATAAAAGATTTCTCAAATCTTGGGAGGCAGCTGCCCCTTCCGGCCACCTTATGGTGCCGCCGGTCGAACAAAGCATAACCATTCATTATTCCAAGGCTAAGAGCCACAAAGCAGATGGTAAGTACTGATACTGAAAAAAACGTCAGTGGCCACCACCAAAGCCTTAAGGCTTGGTGGATTCAAATTTTGCCACCCATCACTTGCCACTAAATGTGGCAGGTCACTTTGAGTGGTTATCGGACGAGTTCGGTAGGTGGTTCAGTCCTCTCCGATTTTTCTCTGAGTCTTTTCTGGTTCCCCCTATAGTATAGAATAGAATAAAATAAATGTAGGATCTATCATTGCAGGGAAAAAAAAAATACTAATATTGAAAAAGACAAAACAATGCCACCAATTAGGTGCTACATTCTCATTAAAATATGAAATATGACATACACAGAGAATTAGTTGGAATTGGAGTTGTAAACATTCACAAGAACCAAAATCACCTCATTAACTAAGCTATATTTACAAACAGTCGATATAATTTACCTTATTAATATAGCCAAAAAAATTTGTTTCTTCCCCTAGTTGTTACAGTTAGAGGTGCAAATAAATCGAACTTAATCGAGTAACTCGCGAGTTTGTTCGGTTAAAACTCGAGCTTGAACTCACATTGACCCGGTTTGAACAGCTCGAGCTATTTAACGAGTCAAGTTTGAGCTTAATATGTGAAACTCAAAAGTTAGTCTAACTTAATCGAGCTTCACACACACACACACATATATGTTTTTTTAATTTTTTAATTTATTAGTATGAAATGTCTAGTTTTTCCCTTATTTAAAATTATAAATTTATGTTTCTTAACCTCGATTAGGCTCGATTAGAATGATTGGGCTCGATAAACATGAGGTCGAGTAATGCAAAATAAAATCGAGTTCGAGCTTGAGCTTAACTTTTAAGAGCTCAACAAGTTCGAGTTCGAGTTCGATTTTTTTAATTCGAGTCGAGGTCGAATTCGATTCGACTCGATTACACCCCTAGTTACAGTAGTTGTGTACATATGTTTAGTGGATGGAGTAACTTATTCTTCAAACTTAAAAATCATTTGCAGTACGTGATACATAGATAAGGGGAAACTATAAAAGTTGCAAATTCACAAGGCAGAGGCAGATCTAACAAAGTTGCAAATCCACTGTGGGCATCCTTCCCCAAATCAAACTCCACCTCATCAATGATTAAACCCAGCCCTGGTAACGTTCGAGACCATACAACTGCCCTGCCCACAACTGTGAGCTGAGGCCTCCCTCTGGTGTGGTGGCCATTAAATCAGCCACTGACTTGGTGATTTAGGCGCATGCATTGCAAAGGAGAAACCCTTCACATTTAAGACGAGTTATCTTTAGTGTTTTTAAGGGAATCATTAAATACTTCAAAAGGTTATGCTCTTACTATATACTTCAAAACATTAGACACTAGTTACTTAGTCAAACACTTGTATTTTTTTCCCTCATTCCTTCCTTTAGTTTGTTTGTTGGTCCTCTTCAACCAAGAAGCTTCAGAGGACAATGGCAAGTACTAATATGGTTCTCAATTAGAAGAACATAATCTTAAGGAAATTTTGGCAAAAGTTACCCAAAGAACATGCAAAGAAACTATCCCAGCACATCCATTTTCTGATGTATTTGTTGGGCTCTTCAGTGTTTCAAATTGGGTTGGACAAGCTAGTGCAGTCAATTGACTCTGAAATGAGTATATCTTGCTAGGTTTGGTGCCAAACCAAAGATGACCTCAAAGCCGGTCAAACCCACCTAAAGATGACGAAATCAGTTGACGTGGAGTGGATGGGTTGGACCCAGCACTATGACCATTAAGATTTGTATTAAGGTAGAAATGAGTTTTTGATCCCTAATGTTTGATCTATGTACTAAATTGGTTTCTAATCTTTTAACCAAAGTAAATTTAGTTCTCAAAGTTTTGCATTTTTGAATCATTTAGGACAATTGATGGAAAATCAACAACGATTAATAGTCAATATCAAATTATCGTTATTCAAGAACTTTACCTTTACATTTTGGTCCCAATGTTTTAAATTTGTATTATTATGGTTCCTTAGGTTTTAAATAATTATAATTAGCGTTTGAAGATGAAACGAGATGTAAATTGATTAAATATACAATAGATGTGTTGCCAAGTCTCTGTAGAATGTCATAAAACACTTCATGTAGGCAACAACAATGTTGTTTAACCTAAAATGCATCTCTATATTAAATAAGTTAAAATTGGATAATAATACACATTTGATATATACAACAAAAAGATCATAGTTTAATATATAACTTTACTAGTTACTACTATAAAATTCTTGCATGATTAATAGACATAGGCTGCTAATGGTTGTAGTTAGGAATTGTGATTTGTGACTATAAAAACTATTGAAGGTAAGTACTTAGGAATTTTTGAGAAAAAAAAAACCTTCTTTATTTTTATTGTTTTTGGACCTATTACATCTTCCAATAGTAACGTTTATAATTATTTATTTTGCTATTTGTTTACCATAATAATTTGATTGAATGACAAATAATTCTATAAAATATCAATTTTATCTCAAACTCAATTGATAACCTAATGAAATTGAATATAAAATAGATGAACAATGTAATTTATATATAGTACATATTCTTCATATTTTAAAGGGATACTTAATTGAGTGCTTAATTATCAACACAAGTGAAAGATAATACGATTCATGATCAATTAATTCTTCGTACTCCAAAACAATACATACATATATTATGCTAACTCTGAGACCAGCTATACAAGAAGTCTATGAGAAATTAGTGGGATGAATAATGAATTATAAAGTAAAAAAGAAAAGAAAAGAAAAGAAAGAAGTTTACTTAAAAAAAATTTTTCCCATTGACTAATGGTGCAAAATGACATAGATTGGCACGGCCTGCCGGCTGCTGAGACACAGCGAGAGGTGGTGGATGTGAAAAATCTTCAATGCTCTCTATGCACTACTTGACATTGTCATGCGATGTACTATCACCATAAAATATCACCAAGTAGAAAATGGTGAGTCATATATTGTTTCCTAATTTTTTTTTCTGATACAGGGATATTTTGACTTACGTCAAACTAGTCCTGCTGTGATAATGCAGAACCCGCTTCAAAAATGCACCACGTGATAACCAGCGGGGTCGACCTGATGATTTAAGGGAGGTACCATTCAAATTGCCCGATAGGAGCGATATATTATTTTCTAATTAGTAAACAAAATATGTACAACCATCATAGTCAATAGTTGATTTTAGTACATTACGCGGCATATCACGTAGTACATATAGAATAGGGATAATTTCAGAAACCTTCCCTAAGATTTCTGACAGTCTCACTCACCTCCCTGAAATTTGCAAAATATTAGATACCTCCCTGGTCAGATTACCTTCTCTTCTCAACCTCGTGATAGATGCTCAACGCAGCCAAAAATGACGGCCTTAACCTTCTTTGTACTTCATGTGGGTTGACTTCCTTCTGCAAGGTATACTTGGGTGGTTATATGTTATCATTAACTTGGTCTCATCCTTGTCGTGATTCATCCAACGACCATGACCGTTTCATATCAATTACGTCAAATCTTATTACATCACACACCTAGACCATCAATTCGTATAGGAAAATTCTATAGTACAGGAGCCAATCACCAGCAAGATTTTCTCAAGGTAGTTTCTGCTAAGATTCTAAGAAATTGTGCACTGCACACACACACACACACACACGCATCACCGATCCTCTCATTATTCTCTTAACTTTCCGTCAGGAATTCCAATGACATGAGAAATAGTACAGTATGTAAACACAGGAGGAGGACTCGATCAGGGGAATAAATGAAATTAAGAAAGTTCTTCACAAGGCTGATCTGACAAAAGCGGAGTGATCATCAATACTATGATGGTTCTTGCTCAACAAGTTCTCCAGCTCTCTCACAAATGCATCCATTGCAAAGCCCGGCAGGCAAATAGGAACCACTATTCCTTTCTCCCCGTTCTTGTTCTTGAAAGGTATGTAAAAGCTCGCCACGCCGGGGATGGCACCAACTCCGCCCTTGGCCGGCCCTCCGTACGCTGGCTTTCCCCAACCGAAGTCCACCTCATTGAACCCAGCCCGAGTAACGTCCGACACGAGATAAGTCCTCACCACGGTGAAATGAGGCCTCCCTTTGATAACCATTAAATCAGCCACCGATTTCATGTAGTCTTCAGTCACATCACATTTGGCCTTATTCACCAGCTCCAACGCACATCCCAGAGCCCTCTTGCACAGCTCTCCGGCAGTCGTCAGGGCCACTGGAAATGCAAAGGCATTGCCGTAGTACCCTTGTGGCAAGGGAGGATCGAACTTGGAGCGAGCATTGACGATGCAGAGCACGCGGACTTCCTCATTGGGTTCGGGCTGGAGGGCGATGGTCCGGCAGCGCCAGAGACAGGCCGTCAAAATCTCAAATGTCGAACACTTGCGACTGATGTCGAGCGGGATGGATTTTCTCAGAGCTGATACCTCCGTCGGGCCGAAGAAGAAGGAGCGGTGGACCATATCGTCCAGGGGAATGATGGTTCCTTTGGTATCGGCTACCTCATCGTATTCGTGATGGGTGCACGTCACCCTTGGCGGGTCTCTAGCATTCAGGAGCTCTCTCTGCCATACTGCAGTACAGATGGGGCGGAAGCTCCCCGTGCGATTTCGCCGACCGCATTCATGAACTGAACTAGTCCGGCAGCATCGGACATAGCGTGATTCAGGCGCAGTGCGAAGATGAAACCCCCGCATCTCAAACGAGTTACCTACAAAAATACAAGTGTTGTATATAATATGCATTATGCACTAATAATACCATACCATTATTAGCACTCAATAATTGCAAGTGTAAGAACAAAATATATATAGAGCCCACCACCACAGCCTAAACAGTTGAGTTGGTGGCTCTGGTGGTGGAGAATAGAACCAAGAAAGGCTATGTGGTATGTGCCATGTGAGGGGCGGGGCATTCATCATTGAAGTTGAGAATTTCAGAGAGAGTAAATGGCATTTCAGACATAAGAAAGTGGCAGCTGCTGGTCTGGCTTGTGATATAGACATTTCAGACAAATATGCTGCTGCAAATATTTGTATTTGAGCCACAATCAGGGAAGGGAACATGACTGACGAAAGGACAACAATAATAAAAAAATTTTCAAAAAAAAAAAAAAAATTCTCACAATCCAAACTCTTAGGCTCTTCATCGTTTTTTTTCCTTTTCCTTTTGGGGCCCGGGGCCGCCCGGGGGGGGGGGGGGGCTAATCTTTCCTATTCATAAAGCATGAGAAGGAAATTCAAGATTAAAATTAAAATTTTGTGTCATCGTTTAGTTTTTTCAATTTTATCCTCACAGAAGGAAAAATTTACAAAATTTTTTGTCATCTTTTGATTTTTTTTTTTCAATTTTATTGTCGTAAGAGTAAAATTTTAGTAAAGATAACTACTTAAATTTAGTGACTTCTAATAACTTCTATTTTATATTTTTGTTTGCTTGCTTGCCCAAAAAAAAAAAAAAAAAAAACTCCATACGATTTAAATAAAAACAACTTTATTTTTTCTTAATTTGCACACTCATATATAGGATGTGCTTTCTCACTAATTTAATACTTTAAAGTCAAAGTATTGACTGCGGCATCTAACACCTAAGAGAGTAGTATAATAGCAAGGTTTTAGAAAGGATTGTTTGTGGTGTGCAATTTCCTAACCAACACTCTTTTTTTCTTTTGTAGCAGTGACAAAAGAGTCAAGTATTCAACTCTAAATTCACCCCCTAAATACTTGGAGAAACAACCTAGACGAAAATAGACAGCTCCAGCCTCACCTCAGGGACAAATCAAGTCAAAAAAAAAAAAGAAAAAAGAGAGAGATAGAAAACAGTAAAGTTGGTTTAGGTTGTGTACTGTATAAGCAGTACAGGACAGTGAAGGACTCCTGCAGACTCAGGAACATCATAGAGGAGCTCCTCCAAGCAGGGGAATGGAGGCTGAAGTTCTTCCCCAAACTGCTCCAGCGTCACCTCTGCATCCGCTTCAATGAACATGACACCCTCCCCCGTGCAGTCCACCACCAGCTTCCTCCCGGCGCATTCTCTGAGACGCCCCGCGAAGGGTAGTAGAACACCAGAGCCTTGGCAATAGCCTCCCTGATCACCTTCACGGGGTCTCTACTGGCCATCATCGCTGCGGTAAAACTGGATGACAGGGATTTGAAAGCGAAGACCCTCTTGATCGTCGATGTCAGAGAGGAGCTTGCATTCCCGAGGAGTGGACTTCGCCGGACGGACCAGCTCAGGCTTTTGTCTGGTCACCCTGAATGTCAGAGACTTTGATCCATTTTGTTGTCCACAAACAAAACTGCTACGCACGCAGTGATTTGACCACCACCAACGAATATATTTGCTCAGGCTCAGGCTTAGGAAATGAAAGCACTAGTAATGAGAATGCTTTAATTGTGCGTATACAGATATAGATAGTCTGACACAGGAGAAGAAAGAAAGAAGGTTTGGTAGTTCTGAGGATGCCTTCCTTCCTTTCCAGCATGGATTTATATAGTACCACTGAGTGTAACAGTAGTCATACAGGAGTTGAAGGAAAAAACACACAACATGTCTAGTGCACTTACCACTTAATTGGATCTTATTTGCATGTACATTTTCCTCATCTTTTCCCACTTCTTTTGTCAATTGACTGACCTGTTATTTGTCTTAGTCTTCTTCTCAGTTCTCACTTTGAGGCCTTCACACTACAATACAACAAAAAGATGGTTGTTAAAACTTGGATCAAAACTCTCAAATGAATTTTTCTATTCCTAGAATTTCTGGGCTACTTCTCTCAACACATTATTGTACCAGTAGCATCCTTTAATTTTCCCTTGAGTTTCTCGTACTTCTATGTGATGTGGAAGCCCACCTGCAAATAGAAAACAAATTCCCGTTTCAGCTTTTTGGTCTAATAGTACCAAAAGTGATGATGCTTCAATTCAATTTCATTACTGACCTTCCAAAGATAATGTTAGGTAGTTTTCTTTTATCATTCATTACGCCATATATATTACTACAAATAAAAATTTTTTTTTTTGAAAGAACTAGAATCAGACCATGTTAGTGCAATGTAATCCTAGACCTTCATGGGTGCAAATATTGGACAGAACATCTATCATGGGACATCAATTTTCTGATGTATTTGTTGGGCTCTTCAGTGTTTCAGATTGGGTTGGACAAGCTAGTGCAGCCAATTTTGTCTGAAATGAATATGTCTTGCTTGGTTTGGTGCAAAGCCAAAGGTGACTTCAAAGCCGGTCAAACCCAGTTAAAGTTGACAAAATCAGTTGACGTGGAGTGCATGGGTTGGACCCAGCACTATTTCTACCTTAAGACTTGTATTAAGGTTAGAAATGAGTTTTTGATCCTAATGTTTGATCTATGTACTAAATTGGTTCTAATCTTTTAAACCAAAAGTAAATTTAGTTCTCAAAGTTTTTGCATTTTGTAATCATTTAGGACAATTGATGGAAAATCAACCAACGATTAATAGTCAATATTCAAATTATCGTTATTCAAGAAACTTTACCTTTACATTTTGGTCCCAATGATTATTTTTAAATTTGCATTATTATGGTTCCTTAGGTTTTAAATAATTATAATTAGCGTTTGAAGATGAAACGAGATGTAAATTGATTAAATACACAATAGATGTGTTGCTAACTCTCTATAGAATGTCATAAAACACATCATGTAGGCAAAACAATGATGTTTAACCTAAAATGCATCTCTTTATTAAATAAGTTAAAATTGGATAATAATACACATTTGATATATACAACAAAAAGAACATAGTTTAATATATATATCACTTTATTAGTTACTACTATACAAATTCTTGCATGATTAATAGACATAGGCTGCAAATGGTTGTAGTTAGGAATTGTGATTTGTGACTCTAAAAACTATTGAAGGTAATTACTTAGGAATTTTTGAGAAAAAAAAACCTTCTTTAATTTTAATGTTTTTCGACCTGTTAAATCCAACGTTCCAATAGTAATGTTTATAAGTATTTATTTTCCTATTTTTTTACCATAATAATTTGATTGAATGACAAATAATTCTATAAAATATCAATTTTATCTCAAACTCAATTGATAACCTAATGAAATTGAATATAAAATAGACGAACAATCTAATTTATATATAGTACATATTCTTTCAATTTTAAAGGATACTTAATTGAGTGCTTAATTATCAATACAAGTGAAAGATAATACAATTCATGATCAATTAATTCTTCATACTGTAAAACAATACATACATATATTATGCTAAATCTGAGACCAGCTATACAAGAAGTCTATGAGAAATTAGTGGATGAATAATGAAATATAAAGTAAAAAAGAAAAGAAAAGAAAAGAAAGAAGTTTACTTAAATTTTTTTTCCCATTGACTAATGGTGCAAAATGACATAGATTGGCACGGCCAACGGCCGCTGAGACACAGGGAGAGGCGGTGGATCCGTGGATGTGAAAAATCTTCAATGCTCTCTATGCACTGCTTGACCTTATTGTCGTGTGATGTACTATGACCCATAACATATCACCAAGTAGAAAATGATGAGTCATAGATTATTTTTAATTTTTTTCACAAAGGGCGAATCCTAATTTATGCCAGACTAATTCCCTGTGATGATGCAGAGCCCGCTCCAAAAATACGTCACACCATAGCCAGCAGGAGTCGACCTCCTAATTTTAAGGGTAAACACCTAAGGAAGGCACCATTCGAACTGTCCGCCAGGAGCGATATGTTGTTTTCTAATTAGTAAACAAAACTATGTCCAATCATCATAGCCAATAGTTGATTTTAGTACGTTACGCGGCATGCCACGTAGTACATATAGAATGTGTAATACTTTCTCTTCTCAAGTTTATTGTCAAAATAATCCTTCTTTTGAAACATATGCCTAAAGTAACCTAATTTTAAATTTTATTACCATTATAATTCTTTTTTGGCCACATAGATTGCATATGTGGCAGGATAGAGATAGAGGACATTCCATTTCTCGTTCCCAACTAATATCTTCCATGATTCTCTCTTTGAATCTTCCCAATTTTTTTCCCTTTCATTATTTTTTTTATTTCATTATTTTTCCTTGTCAAATGTAATTGTGAGAAACCAATATATATATTGACAACATCTAAAATTTCATTATCATTCCTGATATTGTATCTGTAGATGAAAATATTCTCCTCAAATTAATAATCTCAAGATAAATGAAAATTATTCTCTTATCTTTTCTGTTGTGGCAGTTTTTGGAACATTCCTATGGCCTTCAAAAAAAGGGCCAGTTGATAAAGAGGAAAACGGGCCAGTTGATCTCTTGGCAGATTTTCTGAGCGAATGTGATTATCCAACGGTTTGTGGCAGTTTGGCTCATGCTCGGAGGGGCAGTGCTCTTGTCCGTCAGGCGTTGAAAGAAGTGACAACGAAAACAGCGGTCGGCTTGTGTGGAGAAAAATCCCACAAAATGTGATGGTCCCCGTTCTCATGGACTACTACATCTTACAGATGTATATTACTTTATGTTGATTCCGATGCTGCAGTCTTGAAAGCGACAGATATTGAGAGCTGCAGATGGTTATGCTTGAGAGACTGATCATGCAAAGCAGTTTCTCTTTCGGCATTTTTCAGTAACTTTTCAAGGGAAACTGCTTCTTACCCTCCCCTGTTCTTTCACTAATAAGTGATGGAAAGCAAAGAAATGATTTTGAATCATCAGCATTCATCAAAATTTCCAATGACATGTCAAATACATCGCGGATCTTCTGCATCGTCCAAACGAAAAGGAATTATAGCTGGATTGACTGCAGGAATTTTCTGTTTGTCAGTAGTAATCCTTGGCATCTGCATTGTGCGTAGGAAGAAGCAAAGTACTGAGGAAGACGTTGACACTTACTGGGAACAGCTATCGGGAATGCCCGTGAGATTTTCTTTTCAGGAGCTACAGGATGCAACTGGAAATTTCTCAAAATTGCTGGGAGAAGGAGGATTTGGCTCAGTTTTTGAAGGAGTTTTGAAAAATGAAGAGAAAATTGCCGTGAAGCAAGTCAACAGTTTAGGGCAAGGGAAGAAGGAGTTCCTGGCTGAAGTCCAGACAATTGGAAGCATTCATCATATCAATCTTGTGAGACTGATTGGATTTTGTGTTGAAAACCATCATAGACTTTTAGTCTATGAATTTATGAACAGTGGATCACTTGACAAATGGAGTTTTAGCAAGGATTCTGTTCAACTTACTCTTGACTGGCTGACAAGAAGGAATATCATCCGTGATATAGCAAAAGGTCTGGCTTACCTTCATGAAGAATGCAGACAAAAATAGTCCATCTAGATATCAAACCTCAGAACATCCTGTTAGATGAAAATTTATGCACAAAGGTTTCTGATTTTGGCTTGTCCAAGTCCTTTGATAAGGATCAGAATCAAATTGTGACTACATTGAGGGGAACTCCTGGTTATCTGGCACCAGAATGGTTAAGCTCATTTATCACAGAAAAGGCAGATGTCTATAGTTTTGGAATTGTTGTAATGGAGACCATATGTTTAAGGAAGAATTTTGCTATGTCAGAATCTGAGGATCGTGTACATTTGCTTGACCTGTTTAGGAGAAAGGACGAGGAAGATAGGCTGATTGATATAATCGAAAGTAATGATGAAGATACTCGACTAAATATTTCAGACATGATTAGAACGCTGAAGCTTGCACTGTGGTGTTTACGAAGTGATTTTACCCGGAGGCCATCTATGTCTGCTGTAGTTAAGGTCATAGAGGGTACACTGCACCCTGAAAGTAACTTGGAACATCAAACCTTGGACTTTAATCCACTTGCAGCCATCAGAAGAAAGTTTGAATTTGAAACAACAGTATCAGTTTCACCATCAGTACTATCAGGACTAAGGTGAACCAAAAATGTTGCTTCACTCGGTTGCCTTTCTTTTCATGTTAGTTCATAAACGTCTATTTCTTTGTTCTCCTTACCATGTCATTGATGGTTTATATTGTGTTAATTGAGGTAAAGTACAACTTGTCAGAGTAATGTAATCACGTACGCAACAATATTACATATACCTGCATCATTTCTTGGCATGAATTTATATGCATCATTCACAATGGATGGTATGTACAGTTCTATAACTGTGTAACAGGAAAAAAATAATGTCTTTCTGGATTATGCTTACCACCTACAAAGGAACATGGAAAGGTTTCCATTTGTTTCCATCTTCTTATGCTTAATCTTCCTAACGCTCAAAATTCTTGCCAGTATTCATTCTGTCCGTTCGTTCTCATATTTCTTTTAGAATTGTCATTTGCTTTCAACATGACCCCATTAATAATACGTAGTTATTAGTAGGTTTTTCCACATCTTGTGACCAGCTACGTACATTAGGGGATGCTATAAGAATACATTAGTTTTTTGTATTAGCTCCTTGACATCATTAGATAAGGTGAGTATAGGACTCCTGTTTAAGCAGTCAGATTCTGCTATCAGAAAGTAAAATCTGAAAACTCCAGTCCTTCTTCATAGTAATGATGGTTGACTTCAGAAACTAATTTATACTCGAAATCTGCAATAATCTGTCACAAAACAATCTCACCGGAAGAATGCTCGCCAACTTTCTAGGCCTTCCTCGTTTGAAGAGGTGGTGACTAGCGAGTCTTCCTGTATTTTCAGATCATCAATCTCCTGCTAATAATCTCTCCCTATCTGTAAGGTTTTGCTTCATTTATGTTCATTTTTTAATAAATAGATTCTGAACTACAATTACATAGATAATACGTTTAACTTCTTTTCACTCCTACAAATGTATCACTTGCAAAAATTTCATTGAATGGCTATGTTCCATTCAATAATTTCGAAAACAGGAACAGACAGAAAGACTTCAAATAGTGCTTTTCAGATTCTTAAATATTTTCGATTCAGCTTTCTCATGGTTCAACCAAAAGCGTCTTCAATTTAGGTAAACCCCAAACCAAAAATCCAACATTAGCAAACTTTTTCTGAGTTTCAGTCGTTTATTGTTGCAAGTACCTTAGGCAGTCTTATATTCTGTCTCAATTTCACTGATAGGTTTGTCAGTGAGAAGATTTTTTCTTGCAACTGAAAACTTTTCATGAATACAGCTCTAGGTAGAAATTATCGAACTGATGTTTATACAAGAAAGAATAATAGCACCATCTTCCTGAAGTATCAAAAATTTTGTTTGCTCACCAAGGATTCTCTGCAATCATGAAAGAAAAGGATTTTTTACTTTATTTAATTTCTGCCGGGGGACCGGGGGGGAGGGGAAGTGGAGAAGAGTTAATTAGCACTACCAGAATTTCAAAAGGGGGTAGATGGCCTTCCTTCAGAAAGAAGTATTCCATGCAATTAATGACTGAACATGACACAGAAACAAGAATAAGAACTATAGATTAGAAGAGACAAGATGCAACTTATTATTTATGGAGATGTATATCCTTCCTCTGAGTCTATGCTAATTGTCTGATATCAAATTCATCAGAAACGTTATCGCAAGTTCTTCACAATAAGAACCACAGATAGAAAATTCAGATGCCAACAGTAAAATTGAACATGAAACAAATGTCATATGCACATAGATTGTTGAAGTAAATAGTAAGAAAAAGATGCACAACCACTCCAGGGTGAGATAATTAGAGTTCTTGTAGCTAATCATGACATTACCAAGTCCAATACAAATGAGATGAAGAAGAAGAGCAGGGAGGAAACAGAATAGGCAGTCTTAAATAAAATGCAAAGATTTAAATGACCCTCATGATTGTCTTGCCAAACCAGTTTTGGGGAGACGTTCCTCTATCATTTTCTTCCTGAAGTCAAGATCTTCAAAAGTTTCTGAAGTTGCAGTACCTTTCTTTTCTTGGTTTGAACCTGGGCGTTGAGGTCCTGAACAAGGGTATTGCAGGCGTTGAGGTCCAGCAGCTTCAGAATGGCTTCTGGATGAGACTCTTCTAGCTCTTCATGTCCTCCATTTTCATGCTCTGAATCATCCTCTATCATTTTCTTCCTGAAGTCACGATTTTCAAAAGTTTCTGAAGTTGCAGTAGCTTTCTTTTCTTGGTTTGAACCTCCTGTGTTATCAGGGGAGCAGAAATTTTTTCCTTCTTTTTGGATTACCATCACTTCTTCTTGCACTTGTTCGTCCTTGTTAGTATGTCTAGAACAATTCCCTTCCGCGACAAGCTCCAATGAGATTTCCTCGCTCGTAGAGTTGTCCAACTCTTGATTCTTATTGGCTTCATATTTACTCATTTTTCTTTTCTCTATTAGCTTCTGGATCTCTTTTATTTTGTTGAAGTGATTCCCCAGTTTTTCACTAAGTTTCTCAACTTTAACTTTCAAACCATGGTGCTCAATCATTAGAGTTTCTAGCTGGTCCTCCAATCTACCCTTCAACAAATTATCTGTAGATCCACATGAAGACTGGATCACGGAATCATGCTCACACTGTCGGTTCCTTCGCTTTATATGCTTGAGCCAATGCCTCTTTCCTGCTTGAAACCATGGGTTTTCATATTCATATTTCTCCGTACAGATCTTTCTGAACCCCTATAACATTTTAAAAAGAAAATGTTGAACTTTTCAAATAAACAAATGTAAAATCGTTAAGTCAATTATATTATGAATTCCAAATAGAGTTTCACTATCAAAATTGCTATTAGGTAATAAGCAAGACAATGCTGTACTTTGACATATTAAGACTACCGCATTGAGCATTAAACTTGGTAAAGAGATTAAATTTATGTTACTTGTCCAATTAATGGTGAGGTGTTTAAACAACATAAAGATGAATTAACATGATGTACTCACGTAATTGTTGAGCTGAGAAACAAAACTTGCGAGATTGCTATGCTTAAAGTTCTTGGGAAGGAGCTCTACACTGAACTTGATATGGTCCCAAATTGTGAAACTTCTATTGTTTGGACTCCAAGATATGATGGAGTTAGTTTCTGGATCTTCAACCATGTCGAATGTCTTCCTCAGAAAATGAGGTAGAATTGACCCTGTTCTTGGTCTCCTCGGTAATTGACCGATATCCCTAGTGTTACCACCATAGCCACTAGCTCCTCCTCCATCGCCATTATCACCGCCATTATCACCGCCAGTATCATCAATTGCCTTTCTTTTTTTGCCTTCCATTTGTAGTTCAAATGCAACACCGTCTTTAGCCTAAGTGAACCTTCTTGACTTCAAGAGCCTTTAAAAAGATTAAAATGCACAATGACCATGCATGCAATGGAGTGACCAGATGAGAGAAATGCTGAATTTGTAATCTTGACAAAGTAATAATTACTTGATTTTGCCTATATTTGAAGACAAGATTGTTCAAGTTTTTTCAAGTTATTGGATTAGTATTCAGATGATGCCACCTACATAAAGAGTAACGCTGGTTATTTTGGTTTGCTCATTTAGTTGTTGCCTTAACGAGATTTTGATCAATCACCACAAATTTAATCATCCATTGAGATTCTTTTCTAGTTGTCCGTGCCAAGGAGACAACGCACATGCAATTTGCCTGTATTCTTCATGTACAACTATTACTTTTACATTTTTTGATTGTAGATCCTAACCTTCCATCTCAATGAATAATAAATGAAGTTGAGTTTACATTTTAAAATACTTGAAGGCTATCAGATCAAGGTACAATAGTTGTCCTTTCTTTGGTTATTATTTCATTTTGAGCAATTTGATTGTCGTATGGGGCATTTTAAGTTACAAAGCGACATGTTACAAGATGGTTGGCTTTGAGAAGCTAGTCAAGTGCAAAAATTATGTGGATGCTTTTTGTTTTGGATCGATTGAAATAACAAAAAAGCAAAATCTTAAGGACATTTGATCAATTGAAATAACAATAAAGTAAAATCTTAAGGGTATATAGCGTTTCCTCTGCTCATTTATAGAATTAATTTCATTTTAGCCTTTGAAGCATACTTAAAAGTTCAATCTTGCCACTAAAAGTGATGAACTTTCAAAATTGTCCTGCACACAAGAAATCATCTTCCACTTTGACCTTCTGTCCAAATTTTGTTTACTATTTTATATCTAGTAGTAACTAATAAGTGTACTCACATCGCAAAAATAATAAAAAAAGAAAAGGTGTCCTCAAAGGAGTTCACAAAAGCCCTTGGATGGGGGAGGAATTAGTTGGATGATTTGGAGGAGCGAGTGTAAATGATAGGTTTTGGAATCGAACCCTCCCACTTACACTATAAAATAATGTAAGAAAAACAAAAAAATTTTTAAAAAAAAACCCTTAAATAATGTAAAGATAAAATATTTGGACATACATATCATTAACATAATGATTCTCATTCACAAATGTAATATAATAAAGTCATGTAAGTTGAAAATTTCCATCCCATAGTGAATTGAAAAAAAAGAGTTGGTGAAATTATTTAAAGGGACTTGGAACTTTTATATCTTTTGGGGCTCCAAGAATTCAAGTCCTTAAATGCTTTCTCATTAAAAAAATGATATCTTTAAAACTTTACATAAATAAAAAGAGAAATTATAAAACACATAAATAAAATAGATTCCAGTACTCGCTATATTTTGGGCCAAGCCCAGAGTTTTGAACTTTGTATCAGGCCTTCTCCCTCATCTCAGGGTTAAATTAAAGGAAATGTAAGATTTCACTTGAGCTTCTAGCCCACCTAACCATCGCATCGGGAAGAAAGAACTTGTTTGAGAACATGCCCTTGAGGCGTTACTTCCATTAGCATTATTTTCACTAGTGTTAAGTACACATTCAATGTGTGTGCAATCAAGAAATAATTAAAATGAATTAATTTTGTATAAATTTTATTTTTTACTTATAAAATATTTATATAAAGTTTTCAAGAAAGAACTTTGGTTTATATGATTGTAGTAATTTGGTAGATACAATACTTAAGGTGGTTATATTGGTAAAATGTGATTAGGGTAAAATTAATTTTTATAATTTAAAATTTGAAAATTCAAAAGATAACAAAAATGTCTATACCAATTGCTATTATTCAGGCATTATATATTGTATAGATGTTACTTCCATAAACATTATTCACACTAGTGCTAAAGGCACACACGATATCTATGCAATTTAGAATTACTTAAATGTTTTTTGCAAATTGATTTTACACAAAAAATCTCATTTTAAAGAAATTTTTAGTGTTTTAACCCTGTTTTTTTCCTATCAAATGATTGTTATGTTAGTTGTTACAATACTTTTAGTTAAGTTGTCAACATGTGTTTAGAAAATTAAGGTTAAAAATAGGTAATGCTGTTAATCGAGCGGAATATTTGGCTGTCGAACTCGACTCGAGCTCGCTCGATTAGGTGGACGAGCTTTGAAATGTGTTCGGACTCGACTTGCCAAATGAGATATGTGGCTCGAGCTCGAGCTTGAGCTCGTGCAAATTGACCCCAATAAAAATCTATAATTTTCAATTTTTATATTTTTGAATTGTGAAATGACGTATGTACCCTTCCTTATCAAGCCTAATCGAGCTACTCGGATAACAAACGAATCGAGATTACTCGGCTTGTTAATTAAACGAGCATATCTCGAGCTCGAACTCGACTCGTTTACCACAATTAACGAGCCGAGCTCGAGCCTTTCGAGCCTTATCGAGTTGAGCTCAATTGAGCTTTTGAGTTGCTCGTTCCATTTATATAGTTCTAAAAATAGGTATACATGGTTATTTTGAAAATATATGTTTAGATAGCAAAATGGCAAGTAATCTATACAAGGGTAAAGTTGAGAGTTTATACATTAACAATGATTGTTTACCCTAAAATCCCTCTCCTCTTATATGTAATATATAGATACTGTCTCTTTTATAAATAAATAAGAACGAAACCTATTTACCTAGTGTACTCTCGGTAGCGGCGGCTGCGGGTAACAAATGGTAGCTTTCTATTTGTACAGTTGGTTGAATGCTTCAGTTGATCTTAGGACTGGAATCTTGGATTGCCTGATTAACCCACAATTTCCTCTAATTCTGAGATTTGCTCAAATGAAAGTTATTTTCGTCCAGAAGGTTTTCAAGGAGGTGGCTATGTTAATAGTTTCGGTGAGTATTGGAGAGCAGTTCAACAAAGTGTAAGGATCCCAATTCCCATTGACTTGAAGAGCTAAAACGCGTGTATCACTTTGAGTATGTTGGTCTTGATGTTTCAGCTCAATGTGAAACTGAGGTGGAGAGCTGCAAAGAAGCATGCTTGAAAAACCGCTCTCGTGAAGTAGCTCTAGTTCGGTTTTCTAGTGATTATCAACAGGTTATTGAGTCTTTCCAGCTCCAGTTGTGAGTTGTGACACTCATGTACATTGAAAGTGGAAGATATAATTTCATTTGCATTTATTAAAGTATCCAATGGCAAGTTAAATGCAACAATATCTACTACATCAACAACAAAATTTGCTGCACCTGCAAAACCTATCAGGAGCATAGTGGGATCTTCTGCAGGTGTTTTGCTGTATTAGCAGCAGCAGTTGGTTTGTTGATTTTAGTTAGAAAGAGAAGAACCCTGATGAAGGAAGATTTTGATGAAAACTTGGATCAACTTGATTACCTATGAGATTTTCCCATGATGAGTTGTAGGTTATAGCAGATGATTTCAGCTGGAAGATCAGAGGTTTTGGATCCGTATATTGAGGGATCTCTCAGCAATGGAAGAAAATTGTGGTGAAATATATGCCCTGACAGCTTAGGTCAGGGAAAGAAGGAATTCCTAGCAGAGGTCAAGACCATAGGAAGCATTCATCAAGTCAATCTGGTTACACTGATCGGGTTTTGCATTGAGAAGCAGTGCAGATATCTAGTTTACAAGTTAAAGAGCAATGGATCTTTAGATAAATGGATCTATACGAAAAGCCCTGACCAACCCTGTTGGCAAATGAGAAGAAAGATCATACATGTATAGCTAAAGGCTTCTTCATGAAGAATGCGGATAGACCAATGTCGGCTTAGATATATAACCTCAAAATATTCTGCTAGATGCAAACTTTTTTGTGAAGGTTTCTGATTTTGTCTTGTCTAAGCTGATTAATAGAGATGAGATCCAAATTTGACTGCAAAGAGGCACACCTGGATACATGGCTCCTGAAAGGTTGAGCTCATGTATAACAGAAAAGGCTGATGTGTACAGGTTTGGAATTGTGGTGATGGAAATTGTCTGTGGAAGGAAAAATTTGGATAGGACTGAATCCAACAAATTTGTACATTTGCTCAATGATTTCATGAAAACAATCTGAGGGGGATCGATTGGTTGACATGATTTACAGTTACTGCGATGGTACAAGGAAAATGTCCCAGATATCCTCCACATGATGAGGCTTGCAGTATGGTGCTTACAAAGTGATTTTACCTTGAGGAGGGCGTCTACGTCGACAGTGATTAAACTGATAAAAGGGTAATGAGGTATTGAAGCTAGACTGAAATTAGTGTCCTTCATTTCACATATCTCACAGCAATCAAACGAGAGCATGAGTTAATCACCACAGCACCGGTATTCCCATAAACTCTTTCAGGATGAGGACCAAGGTAGAGTTTACAACAGGATTTACTGTAACTTTTGCTCTTCTTTAGTAACTTGAATTCTATGTGTTGGTGTGTGATTACTAATTTCTTGTTATTCTTAGTCTTTATTGATTAATGTGACAATGTTTAGTCCTCCTCTGTTTCTTGAATAACCTACTATTACTGGAATTCGTGCAGAATTTGCAGAGCTTCTTCTAGTTAAGTTACTAAACAAAGTCCTGTTCTCATGAACCTAAGTGATATTATAAGACCAAATGCTCTCCAGCAACATTTTCTAAATGGGGAAAGTTGGCCTTCAAGAAACCTACTTTGTGGGATTCTCATTCAGCTCTTTCTAGAAGCTTTATCGACTCCAGACATAGACAATGAAGATGAATATAAAAATTACTGTCAGTTTATCATAATACCTTGCTTGTTTCATCACGTTTCTTAATCAAATATAGCTCAAGATTAACTGCTCATAGTAAACCAAATAGCATTTTCGTTCTAGATTTCTGGCGGATCAGTAGTTTACTTGTTGGATGAAAGTCTATAGCACGGCAGAGGCAGTATTTTACACACATCCTGGATTAAAACATAACCTTCACTTCTTTTTCCAAAATTTACAGGTATCTCTACCTTTTGCCTTTCTTTCCATTTTAAAATCAGAAGTTGCGCCATTTGGATACTCTCTGGGATCTACAGAGGGGGGTTTG